ATTTACTACTGCGGTCCCTGGGCATAGATCATGATAATATTGTTCAAGCAAAGTTTTTTATTAGTAGCAAGTTCATAAAATCATTTTCTGTGAAAAACAAAATCTACAAAGACCTTGAGAATTGCTTTCCATTTTTCAGTTCTACTCCATTCAACAGCCATTATTGAATATCCATTCAATGCCAGAGTCTATACTAAAAGCTATAACATAGGCACAAAAGAGTATAGAGTCATTCCTGAAGTTCAGGAATAAAGTACAAATTGCAGAGGTATGATATAAATATACTGAAGATTACATAACAGAGAGATGAATAGCAATGCTTCTTATGTAATTATAATTATTTTATTTTCATTGAGCTCTTCCCAGATAGTTCATCTACCTGACTATTATCAGAAATAATATTGGTAATGACTAGCATCTATTAAATATTACTATTTGATAGACCATATTTTATATTGTTCAATCCTTAGTACAGCTTTATTATAGACATTTTAGTATCTCAATTTCAAACATGGTACACATTGAGGACCATTGAGGTTTAACAACTTGATCAAGTCCACAAAACTAATAAGTTCAGAGGGTAAGTTTTGAGAATAGCTTTGTCTGGAAGAGAAGCCCGCATTTCTTATCATTATTTACCCTTGGTAAATCTATTCTTTTAAAGTTATCATTTTCATAAAATTTGTGAGATGGTAAAAATAGTGTTACGGAGATTCTTTCCAATAGCTGAAAGGAGAGTAACAATGAGTATTTGACATGATTGCATGGCCTTATCAAATATTGTATCACTTAATTTACACTCTTAGATATTGCTCAAGTTCTTACCCAGATCTGCCAATATTAGCTAAACCCATGTTATTGACTCTCTTTCAGCATTTAAGTGATCCTGCCATCACTGTTTTCTATCATTTTATTTGTGGTCAGTGAACATTGCGACTCACGTTCTGCAGCAGAGTTTCCTTTTGAGCTATTTCAACATATTTGTTCATGGGGAAAAAGTGTGACTATGGATACTAGAAAAGAGAAAGCAGAGCCTTTAGATATTAGAAATTTATATTTATCTGCTGTAACTCTTTAAAAATCTTTTGGTTCCATGAGATCACCTAGATGTAAGATATTAGAGCAACAACCTGGGGTTGAGAGATTTGTGATCATCGTTTGTTTCCTTTTATTTACATTATTTCTGTGTGTAGGCAATAGGGAGGTCAGAGATAAAGTGATTCACTTATTCACCATCATTATGATCCAGTAATTAACGTGGGTCTTCATACTGGTGGCTTTGTTCAAAATGGCCTTCATGCATGCATTCACAGAAGTAACATGGAATCCAGTGTACATATGATGAGGATATTTGTTGAGCTAACATTTAAGCAATACATGCCATTTTGCAATACCAGAGAGTAATAAAGAGAACAGATAATGAAAGAGACACAAACATCAGCTGTAACAACCAATCTCTTCAGTACAGAAATCTCTACAAAGGAGTAGGTATTGCTTCTCATGTGACTCCATAAAGGTAACAAAAGTGTTTTTAATTATAATTTAATGCACATGCTGAAATGAGAAGTGTATACATTTTATAAAACAATTAAATTAAATATAAATGTGTTAATATGTGAAAGCAAAGTTATTCTTAGTTGTAGTTTATTTTTTTCTTGTAGCTAAGGGTACTTGGAACTTCCACTTCTGTATTATTGATTCTCCTCTGTGTTCAGTATTGTTCTTGGATTGTACATACTATATGTACTAGAGTTCTTTATATTTATAGGGTATTTGCAGCTAATGTGTGGTACAAAAACCTTATCAATTATTATCTAGAAAGATTTCTCCCTCTGATAAATGCTGCACAATTGCTAATAACATTCCTTCTTTGCTCATTAACCTTTTCTTGCCTGAGTGTGCTTTACCTGCATTCTTTCTTCTAAAACCATTTATATCTTCCTCCATCCTGGAATATATGAATGGATTTTTACAGTTTTTGATAAGAAGAGTCACTTCTTAATTGGGGTTGGAGAAATATGAGCAGGAATGATGGATTTTTCTACTTATTCTAGGTAGAAGATTGATGATATAACCTCATTTACCAACATTTACCTTAGTGACCAGATAATTATTGTGTACAAGTTAAAAGATAAGTTATTTTATAATAAATGAATGAATTTTACTTTTGAGACCATATGATGTCACAACATATTTTGATCCCTCCTCTAAGAACTAGAAGAGGTAAAAATTCAATGGAACAGTGATTGAAGGAGGAGCTATAGTAGTGTAGTGCTCTCTGGGCACATGCAATTTCAAGCAGATAGTGGCCTCCAAGCAATGCACTCTGCAGCTGAGTTTCTTCCCTTTTATTTTGCCTTCAGTATTTAGCTTTTTACTCTGACACTGTCTCAAGAATATCCATAGTGACTCAAAGTTTTCATCTGATGCCAGATTTTAGGAATTTCAGACATTCCTTGCCTCTTCATTTCCATTTTGCTTCATTAAGATTCATGCTTCTAGGTGATTATTGGCAGCATGCTTATACCTAAGAATTGGGAGACCAGGTGTAAAGTATAAATGGAGTCCAATATATTTTGTGTTTTATTTTTTTGTTATAAGTGATTATTAAATTAAGTGTTTTATCATCCCACTTTGACAGGTATAAATTTATATCAATTTAGCCCAGGCACAACATTAGGATTTTTGACTCCTTAGGAATGCAGTGGTGTGGGGAGAAATGAGCCTCCAACTGATTCTTTTCAATCCAGTTTTGTTCCACTGCAGGAGGTCTTTTTTGCAAGTGAATAGGAGTTCCCACCTAGCCACCATCTGAATTCTCTATCTTTAGACATGTATAAATACCACCCTTTCTTCTTAGATTTGTGCACCTTGGTGGCACAGACTACTTACTACCGGGGAGCCAGGAGAGGGAAGGTGATCTCAAAGGCCTTGGATAAAGGCTTGAAGAATCTGGAGGTTTGAAGTATGATTAGGGAGAAGGGAGTACAGACTCCATATAAGTGTTTTTCTTGACCCAGTAGACTGGTGGTGAATGGTTTAGTCAGAGAAGGGCCAGAGTGCTCAAGAAATACATTGAAGTGTCATGATTTGATTCATATTTTAAGAGGATCCTTTCTAGCTTTGACTGAAAATACACCTTAAAAGGAAAAGAGTAGACACAGGTAGAACTATTTGCAATAATCTTGATGAGGAACAGTAGTGGGTCGGGTGGTAATTGTGGATGAGAGTGGTACCGGATCTTTTTGAATGTGAAATAAATAGGATGGATCACATTTGCTTTATAAAAGAAGGTAACTTTATGGCTAAAAATCAGAAAGGATGGATAGACTTCCAATAAGCTGAGCAAGTCTGCTATAGGAAAGGAGAGGGAAGATAGGAGTTCAGCTTTTGATAAGTGTATCTGAAAAGTCTCTTCAACATCCAAATGAGAATATTTACTAGACAATTGGATATATAAGTCTTCAGTTTAGGGGAGAGTGTAGTGATAAATGCTGGGACAGCATCAAACTTGAAACTGGGTAAGATCACCAAGGGAATGAGAAGAGATAGAGAAAAAAAAGAAAGAAAGAAAGAAAGAAAGGAAGGAAGGAAGGAAGGGAAACAAAGAAAGAAAAAAGACTGGACACTAGGACATCTGAATCAAAAAGGTCTAAAATAATGTGATTGGTATTAAATAGTAAAAAGTACTTTAATACTTGTATTATTTTTATTTTAAAAGATGTTTAACTTAAGTATATAGCTGTTATGATGATCTTGATCATTTTACTGAAAACTATAACTTAAGATGAAACTCAAAGCTTTTAGTTGTTATGTTTTGCTCTAAAACATTTAAATTTAAATAATCAACTCATAGACAATTAAATTTAAATAGTAGATAGTAAAAATAAAAATTGTTGTTGTAATGAATTTAGAGGTAACAATAAGTTTTTGATACATGTTCTTTATAAATATGTTCCCTAGAGATGTGCAGGGCTAATGTTCTTTGATAAATAAAGCACTAAACACCAATATAGCCATTGTTAATCTATCCCCAAATTTACAAACTAATGCAGCTTGGTTTACTTGTAATAAGCTTACCAATTTGCTTCTCTAAGTAAAGTTTGATTGATGGTAATGTTACCACTGTTGGCCTTTGACGAGTCCTTGCTTCCCCAATATTGAAGAATAACACCAAAGAAGCACGCTGAGGCAAGGTCAGAGTAGAAATTAGAAGTTTATTAAAGGACAGCAGAAAAGACTTCTCCCGGAGGAAGAAGGGGACCCCAAGAACTGGAATCCGTGGAAGTGCAGTTGTCTCCCCTTTTTTTTATAGTTTTGGTGATGGAATGTAAGGGGGAAGGCTTGGGACACAGGTGGGCCAAACAAGTAATCTGGGCAGGAAGGACTTCATTATCACTTCTTGGGATGGGCTATCTCCAAATCTGTTGGGGGGCTGTTTCCTGGGTTCCATTAACATTTCTTTGGGGTGGACTTTGGCCTAGGACCTTTCTGGGACTTCATTAACATTTCATGAGTTGTCTTGCTTTTCCCAGAATCATTGTCAGCATGGCCTCCATTTTAGATTTCACTCCATATGATATTAGACCCGATTTACCTAACTACACTGACTACCTAACTTTAAATCTGGCTTCAGTAATGTGTCCTTACCTCATTGTAGTCTGTCAATAGATGAGACCTTTATTCCTTTAACTCTTTTCAGATCTCAAGTATGAGGAATGTCTCATAAAACAAAATCCATTATTTTATTATAAGCTGATACATAACTTTTTGAAAGAAATACCACTTATCCTTCAAATGAGATCCCAAGCCTTTATTATCTTGCATTTCATTATGAACATGAATATGGAACAGAATAAGAATGTGATATGAAAATTTGTATATTAAATTAAAAACTGAAAATTAGAATGAAGTTATTTATTTTTATCTAAATGACTACATAGACACAATGACAAGTTAACTTTAATTTCTAACAGAGACTATTGTTTGTGTCTTTTCAGTCTATTCGAGAAGTCACAGGCTATGTGTTAGTGGCTCTTAACCAGTTTCGTTACCTGCCTCTGGAGAATTTACGCATCATCCGTGGAACAAAACTTTATGAAGATCGGTATGCCTTGGCAATATTTCTAAACTACAGAAAAGATGGAAACTTTGGACTACAAGAACTTGGATTAAAGAACTTGACAGGTAAGAAAAACATCAGAAATAGCAAATGTATTTTCATTATCAATGTAATGTGGTTACTGTAGTATGTGTTAGAAAGAGTTACACTGCAGAGCATTTAAACATAGACTATTTATTCATTTTTTTTGCGTAATGATGCCCTGTGATTCCCTTGCTTTTATTTACAGATTTTGTAAGTGCAGTTTGAAAGATACCATAGTACCATATCTCAGCAGAACAGAAGTGCACTCTAAGGAAATGCTCAGTGACTGAAAACCCAGATATGAAGCACGTTTAAGAATGTTTTTGGGTGGTCGCAGATGAACAGTAGACCATATCATCAAATCCATCAAATCGGTGCAATAACACCACAGCTCTCAGTCTTGTCAGAGCTCAGGAATACCTAAGCCATTATATCTAGTTCAACTATTCTTTCATTATTAGCACAATCACCTTATTTTGGAAAACATAGCTAATTTATTCAATTTCTATTTCTCTTATTCGTAGCTCACTAAATGCTATCAGTAATTTTTTCTTAGAATATTTCAAAAAAAATTATTTAAATTTTTTTGTCATATAAGTTTAGGACTAATGGACTTGACCTAATTGCACACTAAGTAAAAACTCTGCTTATTATTAAGATATCTGACTGAATTAATGTACCACAGTATATTAAATGTTTTAGCTCATTCTTAAAGAAAGAGCATCATCTGGAAACTTGTTAGAAATGCAAATTCTTGGCCTTTGCATGAGATCTACTGAATGACAGTTATGGGAATAGGACCCAGCAATGGGTGTTTTAAATATCCATCTAGAAATTCTGATCACTAACGTTTGAGTGAGAAACATTATTCTAAGTAAAGGTATGTTACCAAAATGGTAGAACAATATCTAGTTAACCTCTTTACACTTACTGGATACAAATAATTTTCATTTATTTTTCATTTTGTAGAGAGAAAGGAGTGGAATAGGCATGCTTTTATTTGAACGGCAAATGACACCTAGATTGGTGTCAGAAGAATAGCACATTGAGAACCTGGAAGGAAACATGTATAAAATGACTTAAGAGGTGTTGGAGATTCTATAATATACATTTATATCATCATTTTGCCCAATATCAACTTAGTGTACTAATAAACCATTACACAGACGATAATCATTCAAGCTGAATGATTTTATTTTTAAACACTCGCAGCAAGATAAATAACAAGTGAAGATGAGAAGTAGGTAGAGTATTGTAACAAATAATTTTGAGATCAGGATTTCAGAGTTTTACGTGTATATGTATGTGTGTGGTTACAGTTTGTATTTCTCCTAAAATTGTTTTGCTCTGTTGGCATTAGAACAGAATGCCTTTAGAAGAGCATACTTGCTTCCTGCATACTCTCTTTTATCTTTGTGGAAAGTAGATGCACAGTTAAGGAGAGGGCTGCCATTTACAGTGGTTAATGGTTGAATGCTCTTTAGACATATGTAAATTAACTCCCCTGTTTAACATTACTATTAATGAGCTTGATGTTCACCAAGTGCTATTCCATGTACTAAAGACATTATAAACTATCTTATTTAGATATGCTTTTACATTTACTTTACAAGGATACTCTTAATTTTTTTTTTCTGGTGAAACAAAACAAAATAACAACTTGTTTTGCTGCTGCCACTGACCTTCCCCTGGTCCATTACAGGTGAGGTGAGGTGAGGTAGAGTGGAGAAGAGGTGGTTTCTAGAATAAAAATAGACCACTGTTCTAAAAGAGAATGAGGAACTTGTCCTGCCATTTTCTGGGTTTCCATTAACACTAGGTGTCCCCAGAAGGAAAGTACATGTTTGTCAGTGTATCCCCTAGGGATATAACCATCTCTACCTTTAGGCTACTAGGAGTGTTCCTACTGTAGTTCTACTATTTCGAATAGTCCATAACTAGAGAGGAACACATAACATCTATGAAGTTCCCTTGCAAGTAGGTGTGGTTCTAATTAGTCACTCCCAAGGATGATGTCTTCTGATTATTTTATCAGGTCCTTCTTAATCAAACATTCCAAACTTAAAATCTAAATCAATGGTTTATATTAAATTTCCACCTTAAGCCTATAAACTTCTACTCATTTAATCCTCAGTCTGGCCAAACTCTAAAAGGAGATTCATTTTATAGGACATAAAAGCCACTATTTTCTCTCTTCTATAATTTATAAAATTACTTCATCTATTACTAATGCTAAATAATATCATTTAAATTCATGTATGTTATATTTTATATATGGAAGAATTTTTGAGTTACCTAAATTCTTATCTATTTCTTAATATCCCATTTATAATAACCTAGGTATAAATTTAATACATGTATAGGTATATTTATCATACCATGTTTTACCTTTATAAATTATGAGAATGTCTCTTTTGAGTATGTAAAATTTAGGATGATATACAATTTTTTTGCACTTTCCAAAAATTAGCTAAATATTCTATATAATTTTAGATCAACACATTCATGAATTTTTGTACTTGTTTAATGTTTTGGGAAATTCTAATTGGGTAAATGTGTACTGGATCATCTCAAGTATATCATTATTTAAGATGTGGACAAATGCAAATTTTTTAAAAAAGTAAATAGTTAAAGTTATTTGGGGGAGCCCTGAATAATAATATAAATGATATATTAAGCTTGCTGGAATCAGGTAGACAAAAACTAAAATAAAAAAATAAAATTCTCAAGTCTAGGAGATACAACATCTGAATGTTGTAAACTTTGAAAGACATAACATCTGAATACTACACTTGCCTGCCTGCCTTCAAATATGCATGATTAGAATAGTACATTAAAATAATTCAGCACTTTTTAATATATAAGGTCATCAAACTTCCTTGACATCATTCTGTAATGGTCAAATAAGTAATCTAATATCAAAATGGACAAGGCACCTGTAATTGATTGTATGTCAAACAACATGGATGTGGTATCAGAAAATTTTCTGTCTAAACATGTGGTCTGTCACTTACAGTCTGGGTAACTCTGATGCTCAAGATTTATTTTATCTTGAAATTTCTGAAGAAAAATTCTGTCACAGTGTTGTAACAGGCAGTAGAGAAATGAAGTAGGGAACTGTCACCTACAGCACCTGTCACATAGATGATGCTCAGAAATCTTAGTTCTCTCTCATTGTGTCTATTTTGTTTTTTAGCTTTCCTTTGTGTCAACACTTGGATGAAACTATCGTGCTTGTTTCTACATATTCAAATATACTCTCTATTGCTTCATTGGAGTTTTTAGATGTGACTTGTTTAGACAAAAAGATGCTCCAATTTTTACTGCCTCTTCTAATGCTATTTTGAAATTACTTTCTGTATAAGATCTGCTTCTCTGGCAGTGAGAAGCCTGAGGCTGGTCTTCATCCACTGTGCTGCCTTGACTACCTCATAGCCCTCCTCTCCTCCCTCCTTGCCTCAGCCCTTCATTTCAAATCTCCGTCATTACTTTCACTCTTCATTGCCCCTGACATTGTCTTGACCTAGACAAAAGATTCATTCATTCTGAGTTCTTTTTTCTGATGCTGAAGTTGCTAAGCATTCTTCAACAGCTTTGTAAAAGGTCTTAGTACTGTTTGAATGGGTTCAGCCAGGTTAGTTCAGGGATTGTTGTTAAATAGAATGTTTGACATTCTATTTGCATTAGAAGAACTACTTGGCATGTTGTGATATTTGAGAAAAAAAAAATCCCAAGAATTCTCCAGGCTTAAGGAGAGATTACTTGGAAAATGATTAGATGAAAACCAATTTATAGTGAATATTATATGATCACACAAAATCGGTGAAAAGAGTGGCACTTTTTTATTTAGAAGTCAGTTTTTAGATTGGGTACATAATTTCCAGAAATCATATTTTAATTAGTGTTTCTTTTTTTTTTCTTTTTAATACTGTTAACTTGTCATGTGAGACAGTGTATATTGGTTAGCAAAAGAAAAATCAGGATGGTGTATTTGTGTCTGTAGATAAGGCAGAAACATATTTTTGTTAAAGAGGAAATTTTACAATTATGCAAACAAAGAGTTATCATGGCCATTTCAGCAAGTTTTTCTGGCACTTCTCAGATTCATGGAACTGATGAGTAATGTATGGAACTGAATGAAGGAAGGAATGAGAATTTCTCTACTATAGAAAAGAGACTACATGGAGAAATAAGCCTTGGGTTGGGAGTATTTGGGGGAGGGGTGTGGCGTTTCCAAAGAGCAAATTCATCCTCTACTTTGGGATCAATTTTCTTTTTCAGTTGTGATAACTAAGGTCTTCTACTCAGGCTGTACTACACATCCCCCTTGACCTCTGTCCCACCCAGGGATTCTGAAGAGCCTGACTCTCAGAAGGATATTCCATTAAACACCTATAGTAGTCCGTAGGGAAAAAAAAAAATGATGGAAGCCTAATGTTATGGGAGTCTCTTAAGATAATTCCTTACTTGGGATCTTTGTGATTATTGTAAACCTTGTGATTATTATTTCATGTTCCCAGGATATAGAAAGATCTACATGTTCCTTTTCCTAAGAGAAGAAGAATATGTAGTCTGAGGAAAGAAAAATTTCAAGGTCAATCCACTCCCTTATCACAGTCCATTTATTAAGAAAGCCTGCTTATTAGCTTATAGTGCTTAGAAAATGGAGGAGAACCTTTGCATCTCAGGATTCCAACTGCAATATAAGAAAATTATCAGTTATCACTGTTTATCACTGTGGCTGTGCAATTTCTCTCTGAGGAAATCAGTAAATATATCAAAATTCTGTGCGTCCATCCTCATCCCAAGGCATTAGGTTTTTCTGACTTGAAGAAACTGAACTATAAATTAGAACTAACAAATTTCTAGCATCCAGTAAAAGTCACCAAGGGAGGAATAGCAATGTTGGGACCAGAATCATTAGATCCTTGCACATTCTGATTTGATGACAGAAGAATGAAACAGTATGAATAATATTTAAATATAAACTGAATCTGTATTTTAGACAGAATGAAGACTGCCTGGAATTTTTGTCAGGTCT